CTGGGTAATTTTTGAGACCTAAGGGAGAGAAACAGTGCAAGGTTGACCATACTGGCTCAGAGCAAAGTTCTGTCTAGCTTGAATTCCTATTTCTGGCTGGCCTACAGCAGATACCTAGGATAAGATAGGGAGACTGGAAAACGTACAGTGGTACATCTCCCTACATGCTCCCACCATTTCAAGCAACTTTTGTCTCAGAGACCTACGGAGACATACTGAGACAGCGGTACTACATTTTGTATTTATCATGTAAATTTGGGAAAGGGAAAGGAGCATAGATTTTGTGAAGAGATTGTTTTCTGCAAATTATGATTGATTACTGTTTTTGTAGCCTCTCAAAAAAAAAAAAACTTGAACAAACTGGAACAAAACCCAATAAGTTATTCTTGAACATTTTAGGGGGTGGCGGGTAGGGGCTTAGGGAAATGAGGGAGGAACTGAGTTGAGGCAGGAGCGTCTCTGGTGCCATTAAGAGTTATGAATTCATAAACTGAGACTTAATGTCTCCGATCCCTTAATTATTGATCACTAAGGAGAATGCCACGCCTACCATATTGGGAGCGAGCACTGAACACCTTCCTGTGCACCTTTAGGACTTGCCGCTTTGTGGTGCATTTATTCCCCTGTGGAAATGAGGAAACAGATCTCAGCACAGAGTACCTTGGGGCTCCTAAATCCAAGCAAACATTTTTGTGCCTGAAGTTGCCGAGTTACGGAACAGGAGCTTGTTTTTGAAAAGGAGAGATGGGAATGGGGAGGAAGGGAGAAAATCCTTTCATAAATTCAGGTTAGGAAGCTTTCAAATTTATCCTTCTTTTTGAAAGAAGCGATATTGATTCACTTTACAACTTACCCTGTAGCTTCAGAGGAAAATTTTTGAGCTGCGTACTTGTCATTACAAATAAGAGTGTCGGACTCCAACCCTGGGTTAAGACAAAACGCCACGAGCAGTGGGATGGGGTGGAGAGCAAATTAGAAGGTGTGATACAAAACTGAAGTCGCACTGTAATTGTAAGCATGATTTTATCATACCTTAATTCTGTTTGTGCAGGGTATGTTGACACACAAGCCTAAAGATTTAGTTTTATTATATGTTTAGCTGTTTTCATCAGGTTTGTGACTCTGCAGAGGGATTTGGAGAAATAAAGGAGGAGCAGATAACGGGGCATGATGGGGAGACAGGGAAATGAGAGGCTGATGTAGACAGGGAAGTGAGAGGAAAGCTTCTGGGAATAAGAGAGCATGGAAAAGTAAGCAGACAGATAAATCATGTGGCAACACTGCAATGATCAAATTGGCCAACTGGCAAGGGAATCAGTGAGCAGTTTCTGGAGGCTGCAAGCTATCTGGCAGTACTAAACTGACAAAAATACAGCGCAACTGATTTAGAAGAATTGACGAGAGGGTACGAAGGTGTCTTGCAGAAGCCTTCTTTGGAAAAAATGGGAGATAATTTTATAGTCCTTTCTGATATCCGTACTTAGTCATTTCAGTTTCAAAAGTCGCAGTATATTGAAGCTGTCTTCATATGGAAGCTATTCCACTGATCGGTCTCTCCCTTCTTCATGTTGTTTCTAGCCCTACAAGCTTAGTTTCTTTTTGAGATACAGCCCCAGATTGTGTATATTACTGAAGACTAATGTGTTGGATATTTATATAAAGACATCGTGGTGTTTTTGATGTTACTCTCTATCCATTTCCTGCTAATTCTAACATTTTGTTTGTAGGGATTTCAGTGTTTTGTTGAGCACTGGGATGCTTTCATAATTTCAGATCACAGGATGACGTTTGATATAAAGAGTAAGAACAACAATATGTCAATTTTGGGGATGATGTAGATTTGAGATAATGCCCGTTTTAAAGCTAAAATAAAAGCAGTATACACATGCAAAAAAGCCCTCATCCTGGTTTCACACAATGTATTATGTTGCTGTATGTTGCAGCAGAATTGTTTTGGATGCTAAATTTTTTTGTAGATCCGCTAGAAACTGGGCAAGCTTATGGGAAATCAATTCACTTAGGTCTATGAAGTGAGATTTCACATTTAACTCAGGATTTTCTCTGCCGCAAATTAACATATCATAAATGGTTTTACACCCCTCCCCCCAAAAAAAAACAAGTGAACCATGAACAGTAAGTCCCTTCCTGCTAGCATTTGTGTGATTCACTCTGCTATTGAAGGTTGTGGTGGGAGAAACTAATATATCTGATATTGGGCCAGAAAGATACAAGTTGGTGTTGTTGCCTCAAAAGCTTAATGTAATTTCTTTTACTGTGCTGATAGCACCGCAGACCCTGAAACAAATTGTAAGCTGTCAGGCATACATGCCCCTCAAGTGTGGGGGATGAAGTAGAGATAAATGTTCGTCCTGGTCCAGCGTAACAGGTGCTGTATATTATCAAACAGTGTATTTCCATATTCACAGAATGGTTGAGGTTGGAAGGGACCTCTGGAGATCATCTAGTCCAACCTCCCTGCTCAAGCAGGGTCCTCTAGAGCATATTTCCCAGGATCGCATCCAGACGGATTTTGAATATCTCCAGGGAAGGAGACTCCGCTACCTCTCTGGGCAACCTGTTCCTGTTCATATTGACCTGCAGAAGTTACTTGTAGCCTGAATGAAGTTGTGATGTTTCTGTTCTGTATTTTCTTGGTCAGCCCACTTTTGGGGATTGCTTTAGAAGGCAATAACTGTTCCCAAGTTTGTGGGTTATAGTAAGTGATGTGCTGGGTTTGTATTGCCCTCATCTAATTGGGCTGGTATGAAAATATAGTTTAATAAAAGATATCTAAACTGATTTTTATATTTGATAATGTCCTATGTTAGCTTAATGTATACTTGTTTAACGGAAACAAAATTTAGCACAGAATGGTGTATTTTATTGATGGTCTCTTCCTTCCTGTAGAAGGACTGAATAGATAACAGCATTCCCTGGTAAGAGATGGAAGCTTTTAGTTTTATTTTGAATACTTTAGAATACTGTTTCTTCAGGGGTTGGTCCTTTGAAATAGTCCTAGTATTGGCTTCAAGTGGGTACAGGTTCATTCTTTGATGTCCAAAAGTATTGATCTGTGCAGTGGCCTATTCTAAGCAGAGTCTTGCTTTATGTAATGTAGGTTTTTTTTCTTTAAAAGTTGTGCTCTTTCAACCAGTAAATAGTAGTATTAATGGCAATAATTTAATGGCAATATTTAACCTGTTTTCACACAAGGCAGAGTTGAGTCAAAGTTTATCTTGTCTTGGAAGCAGTTAGTTAGTGTTTTTTTGTGTTTTTTTTTTTATTTTCGTTTTTTCATATGAAAATGCTGCAAGTTGTGCGTTTCTTGCTTTTCAGCAAAGCTTGGAGGCATACCAAATTTTGTAACTGTGGTAGGCATATGCTTACCACGGACTGTTGGACTTGTTTTTAGGGACTAATTTTGTCCTAAGCTAGGTTTCCCCGGCTCTCGTTTTTTTTCATATGAACAGCAGTGAAACTTGGGTATTATTCTTGAGAGAATCTGGTTAGTTTTGAACAGGTTTGGTTAGAGAATGTTGACTAGTAAAATGGATTTACCCCCGCACTTCTCTTTCATTTTATTTCCTGTAAAACTGAAAGAAGATCTAACTTGCTCTTTGCATGCCCATTAGAGATGACTGGTATGAATTTCAGAACGATCTGAATTCAGTCAATCTGAAGAAAAAATTCTTTTTGAAAAATATTCAAGTATTTGCTGTGAAAACCTACACTGTACTAGTGACATCACAAGCAGTACATAACTAGTTATAAATTTATTTATTCATATTAATGCTCTCTGTCACCTAACATGCACAGAAGCCTGAGTTTTAGCTACAGATGAGATGTTACTGGGCTTAGTCCGACAACTGATTATGTAAGGAGCTGAGCCATTTTACAGCAAATGTTAATCCTTTAGGGTGTGCAAATGCTTAATTTACCAGAAACCATTATCTGTTACTGGTATTGCTGACAAAGTAATTGTAGTACTTGTAAGCCTGTTCCTGGATACCTACATAGGGATCAGAAAATTGTAAAGAGTTCTGAAAAGGGATTGGTAAATATTTTAAATTTCTCTAGTGATTAAAAAATATCTTGAGGCTATTAATCTCTAAAGCAGTGTTTGGATCGCTCTTGCAAATAAACCTTTTTTTTTATGCTAAGTGATTTTGTTGTTGTTGTAAATAGCGCATTCTAAACCATCTGCAAACAAGATAAAATGAGTCAAAAATTCTGATGTTGTGTTTAATGATAATACAAAGCTTAAATGATATTTAACCAATAATTTTTTTCTTGCAAAGATTTATAAATATTCATCAGAATAAGATTATGACCACTGTTTGTTTTCCAAACTTTATCTCCATTTTGAAGAACTTTTAATTAAGAAAGGAATACGTGTGGTCGCCCCCCCCCCCCCCCCCAAATTGTAGTACCAATGCCCATGTTGAGCTCCATCACTTGTTTGGCAGAAGTAGGAAAGTAGGATTGACCTACCTTCTGCCATATTTGGACAGTATTGACCTGTGGGTTCAAGACTACAAATTCTGGGCATAGCTAAATAAGTTGTCAGCTAGACTGCTGAAAATAGCCCCCTTTCTATAAGTGTTTTCGGGAGTAATCATTAAGCAGGCATTTGTTTCCCTTCACAGCACATGCAGAGTCTGTCTGCTTTTGCATGGAGGAATCATGTGACATGGCAGTTTTTTTCATAAAGGAATTCTGGGTTTATATCAGTTCTTAGATGAGCTAGAAGTAGAGTCCCATGATTGGAGAATATATATATATACACACACACACACACATATTTTTTTATATATATATATATATTTGTATATATTTTTATCAACCAATCGATAATTGTGCCTCAGTGTAAATAAAGCAAAATCTGTATGTAGTAATGCTGGATGGATTGTAGGATAGATAGGGGATAATGCTGTTCTACTATCTTGCAATCACTTTTTCAGATCTGAACTCTTACTTTTATTTTCTGTATTTGATTTCAGAAGAAACAATGCGGGTGACAGGGAGAAGGCGCTACAAGTTATGCTTCAAGTCCTGCAGACGTGTGATCACCCTGCTCCAGATATGTTTTGCTTATGTGGGAGGATCTACAAGGATATGTTTCTTGATTCTGACTGTAAAGATACCAGTAGTCGAGATCATGCCATTGAATGGTAACAGCAAAAAAAAAAAAAAAAAAAAATTTTCAGACTTTTACTTCTGTTTATGAAAAGCAGACTTGTGACAATTTAGAAAAGATCAAATTTTCTACTTATTCTCTCTTTTTAACATAGTCTTATTTAAGCAAATGTTTTACTGAGAACCAGGTCTTTGGATATGCATTTTTTTTTTTGAAAGCGCTTATATCTATTTTTAAGTTTTTCTTACTTCTTTTTGTAGAATATTATGAATAAAGAATGATACACAGTTCATTGGAGGGGGTACTCACCTCTGTGCAGAGAAAATATGCAGTTAATCTACTCTGAGGCCTAGATGAAGTTAAGTGAGGTAGTGGGACTTTTGCTGGTCCTCTGAGCAAGGATGATTTTGACCTTGAGCCCATAGGAAATGGGTTCTCAGTGTATGTAAGGAACAGCATTGATGAACGGCGTTTATGAAGTTCCTTAAGACAATAAGGCATGCATGTGCACGCAGGCTCACACAAACATACTGTTCATAGGTGTATGTTTTTCTAATCGTAGAAACTACTGCTGATTACACTGATGTAAGTGAGCATTTTGGGATTGTATGGTAACTGTGAAAATACTGCTCTCTGTCTTGATTTTTCCTGAAATCACCTTAACATTATTAATACAACATGGATGAGTAGCAGTGAACTTTCAGGATTCAGATGGATCTCTGATTCTTCACCAGCTAGCAGGATGTGTTCAGCTTCTGTCAGCTGGATCTCAGTTACTTTTGAAGAATGTGAAGTTTTAAAGGATTTGGAGCCTTTTTATAAAACTCACCCTGAAGACTAGTGTTTTTATGGTTTTTCCTCATACCAGTAATATATTATAGTTTTATTCTATTGCATTTAAGAGTTAATTTTGCAATAACTAGTTCCAGCTTCATTTTGACAAAACTGTGCAAGGTAGTGGGACATTAAATTGTAAGCAAAAGCTTTTCTTTCTCACCATTAGAGCAAAAAATGACACTTTATTTCAAATGGTGTTTGCTAAGAGTGCCTTTGGTACCAACTAGCCATATAGTCCTTGCAGTAAACTAATAGCTTAAAACACCTACTAAAACTTTATAGTATTTCAGTTCTATTATACAGTGAGATGTTAGCTCTTGACTCCTCTCTGCAGGTATCGCAAAGGATTTGAACTCCAGTCAACTCTGTACTCTGGAATTAACCTTGCAGTTCTGCTGCTTGTTGCAGGACAGCAGTTTGAAAGCTCGATGGAGCTGAGAAAAATAGGTAGGTATCCACACAGCGCCGCAGACAAGTTCCTGCCCTCCTTCCCAATGAAAAAAAGCGGACAATGTTTTTAGAGATGGTCTGTATAGATGGAAAGGTGGTCCGGGTTTTTTAATGGTGGATCTTGGATGGCAGCCTAAAACAAAGGGATCTTGAAGGACCGTTTGTTCCTTTTTGCCTTGGGGCAGCTTTCTAGCAAGTAGGCCCACCTAAAGGACCCCAGGGATGGGAAGGGAATAAGGAAGGACTTTGCTCAGCACCATCTGTAAATTGCCTCTGCAGCATCACTGAGACTATCCTGTTGCGTAGCCAACAGGGGACAAAGGCAGGAGGTGATAAAGCATGGCCCAGCTTTTCTCAGGGAAGCCAAGAAAGAGTCCATGGGGTTTCTGTTGTCCCTGAACTGAAAGATCCCCCCAGCAATATCACATGGAAGGCTACCAGGACAGTCAGTAGTTGTCTGCGTAGATTCAATATAAGTGGTAACTAAAATCCACCACTATACACATAGGTCTATAAATAAATCATACAATAGAAATAGATATTCAGTTCTTGTTAGAAAAAATAGTAGTTGATAATTATATTTGAAATCAAATCCTATCTGAAACAAGCACTTCAATCTCAAAGGTGAAGAACGCAAAGGTGGCTTTAAACCACTCCAGTATCCCTACTCTGGTGTGGATTCGCATAAGCCTCTAACCATTGATCTCTTGCAGCTGATGCAGATCTTGAGGACACACAGATGCACAGCTTACACTGAAAATCAGGAGGCAGATAGCCCAGGCAGATAGCACAAGAGCTTTTTCAGCATCATGAGTGGTAGGAGTTCTGGCTTGCTGAACTGTATTGGGGATATTACTTGCAATTATTTTTTCTTTTTTTAAGCGCTAATGCTGAATGAAGTCTTGTTAGTCTTGGTATGAATTTGGTTTGAATGTAAATATGGTTTTACTGATAGAAAAAATATATATGTATTTGCACATTTTATAGGTGTACGGTTAAACAGTTTACTGGGAAGAAAAGGAAGCCTAGAAAAAATGAACAATTACTGGGATGTGGGGCAGTTCTTCAGTGTCAGCATGCTGGCTAATGATGTTGGTAAAGCAGTACAAGCCGCAGAGAAACTTTTTAAGCTGAAGCCTCCAGTATGGTATGTGGTACAAGACTGTACCTTAAGTACTCAGCTCTGAGAAATGCACAAAACAACCCCATGGACGTTTGGTGACTTAAATGGATCTTTAAATCTCAGATTGTTGTAATTCTCTGACTTTATACTCTGTTCTTGTATTTTGTGAAGAAAAGGGGAAGAGGGTATTGGTAGGAAACTACGTTACCCTTCATTGTTGGTTTTAGATCCCATTGAAGCACATGTTTTATAGGAAAAAATTTGGAAGTTAGTGATTCTTTGTGAAACAGAATTCTTCTCAGAGTCTAGACAGCTGCTGCTCATCCCCCCCCATTTTCTGCCTGACACCTTGTTTAATCACCATGTAACTATACGCTTTTCCAATAAGATGTTGTTCATGAAAGTCAGTATAAGCTTATGACTTAAGGTTTTCACTAAACTTGCTCTTCTTTCTAGAAATCTGTAAAAATAAACACAATTGTTTTCATTTGTAGTAGCTTTTAAAATGCATTTAGTTTTGCTTTGGATTAAATATGCAGTTACTTTGTTGGATGTTTAAGTCAGTAAAGTGCTTTTAATATCCGGTCAAATTCTGTTTTCTCTTTGTTAACTCACTAATTCAATACATTCTAGGTACTTGAAATCATTAGTTCAGAATGTGATGTTAATTCAGCATTTCAAGAAACTCACCATAGAACATTCTCCTAGACAAGAAAGATTGACATTCTGGCTAGATATAATTTTTGAGGCAACGGAAGAAACAACTAATGGACTGAGATTTCCAGTAAGATGTTATGCCAAACAAGTTCTGTGTGTCTTATGTTTCTGGATAGGATATAACAGGAAGTGGAAGAGACTAAACATAGCAATTATGTGCTTAACTGCCTGGTGTTTCATTGCATTAACCAAAACCCTATATTCTGTTGATCTTTGCTTTTAAAAAAAAAAAAAAATTAACTCACTGTCCTAAAAGCATCCTTAAAAAATACTGTTAAGTCTACTGTAACAAATCAGATGATACAGTTTTGCATATAGAAACAAAACCTCTTCCTGCCTTGCCCTGACTTTCAGTCCCAGTGTTCCTCCCTCCTCTTCTCCATCAATTATTTGGTCCTTAGGTTGAGGTTACTTATTATCTATATCAGAGTATTGTTTTTTCTTAAGATGCTCTTGTGTTATAGCTGTTGTTTTACTAATGAAAAATGTTCTCTCCTCAGGTTTTGGTGATAGAGCCAACTAAAGTCTACCAGCCTGCATATGTATCAATCAACAACGAAGCAGATGAGAGGTCTCTGTCTTTGTGGCATGTCTCTCCGACTGAAATGGTAAAACTACTGGCAGATGCAGTTCATATAGTCTGTGCTTGATTCATTGTGCTCAAAGTCCCTTTTTCACATGTAGATTTTGGAGCTTTTTACAATCCTTTAAAGTTTGCTACGCTTCTGTGAAACACAAGCCTCAATATATCTTTTATGCACATGTGAAAATAGACTTTTTACAGAGAAAATAAAAAGGGAGTCTAAGATTAGAATGCAGATGTTCTTGACCTCTAATTGAGAGTTCTTTTCACTTGGTTATGGTTCTTAGAAGTGCTTGGGCTGTTCGTTCTGCTCCTAATGTTTCTCATTAGAATTGTGTGTGTTTTATTAAGATTCTGCTCAGAGCTCTATCGAAAGTAAAGACCAATATTGTGTTTAACATTGTAGAAGTTGTAAAAATTTCTGCAATTATAAAAGTAGAAACTAGAAAAAAATGTGCAAGTCTGACAAATGTTGAGAGAAGATTGTTGGTGTCTTAGATTATTGGATAAAGTATAAGAGACTGGGAAAGGAGTATGCATGGTTTTGGACTGTGCAATCTTTTAAAAGTGAGAAGTAATTTCGGTTTCACTTTGGCAGAGTTGAAATCCAGAATCTATTTGGCCACCCCTCCTCAATATCAGAAAGAAAGGTGGAGGATAGGCTAAGAGCGTAGAGAGGTGAATTGTTGAAAAGAGGCATGTTAGTCAAAGCAAGAAAAGACCACATAATTACCAGGACCTGTAAACTTCTTTCCAGTACACTGTACTACTTCACTACTTCTAGTGAATGTGTCTGTGTCTGACACAATTTTGCTTTATGGAACAAATTCTTTGGGCATATCTAGCAGTGCCAAAATAAGACCCAGCTGGTAGCTGGAGATTTATGAAGAGCTACGTTCCTAGGCTTAGACTGTCCTTCCTCTGTTTTGCCTCCAGTGTGCTCCCTTTACCAAAGGTATTGGTTCACAGTGCCTCTTAGGAAGAAGTAGGAAGTTTCCATTCCCTTTGAGCCTGAGCATCCTAGAGAAGATTGGAGTATAGTGTCTGCTGCATGTTTAATATAAAAAGTCGATGTATGGAGTCAAAACACAATGCTTGGTAAATTGTACTTCAAGCTTTATTCTTCAAATTGAATTTCACATGAGGAAATTTAACCTTTACTTCCACCTTGCTCTGTTTAAATTCATTTTCCCTCAACTGGATAGAATAGCAATGTATGGCCTTTTCCCACCTACACATCAAGCTTATTTGAAATTTAAAAAAAAAAAAATGGTGGCTGAAAAGAGGTGACACTTGACTTGGAAAAACTGTTTGTTTACTATGCTTTGATTTTGTTTTTAATAGTAAGTCAGGATATACATCTTTGATATAGATACAGATCTTGATTGATACAGATCTTTATTCTTTACAGAAACAGATTCATGAATGGAATTTTACAGCTTCCTCCATTAGGGGTATAAGGTTGGTATGTCTGAAACAGTTCAGTGTGGTTTTGTGATTGTCTTAAGTAGGAAATCTGGATTCTACCTTAAACCTCTACTTTGCATGGCCTGTTATAAAAGCTGCTTCTGTTCAACCTGGCTCGAAACATATCGACAAGAAAGAGTTTGCCTTGCCATGCATGAGCAGAGCTGTATATTTCTAATGGGAATACTCATCTAAAATTTGTGCATATTCTCTTCTAGACTTCCCTGTTTTCAGTTGTGTGTTTACACTTTTTCATATTTACTAAACTTCACAATCCTACTTCATTGTCCATTGTACTAACAGCTAGAATGCAGAGAAGGAAATTGAAATCTCTTTTCTGTGATTGCCTTCGCTGTGTTGAGGAACTTGGAGGGCAGAAAGGACGAAGAGCCCTTAGCACATCTCTTTCTTTCTTCTGTAAATGGAAAAAAACCCCTTTTCTTTAAGGAAAGAAAACCACGGTGGCTATTTTCTGTTTGGACTTCAGAAAAACTTCTCATATGGCTCTATTTAAAAATCTCCTAGTGAAAACTTGTTTCACTAGAGAACTGTTACATGAGGCATGGACATGTTTTTTGCTGAGAAAAGAGTTCTTGAGCTGGAAGGAGACAGCTAGTGAAGTGTGTCTCAAAGATTAGCTTTTAGATAGTTAAAGTAGTTGCATTTTATTACACCTAGGTTAATAAAAACACTAATGATAAGAAACTAGATTCCCAAATACACAAAGGAAGATAATAATACAAAGGAGGATCAGAATATTACATAGAACAGTATTGTTCTGTGGAACTGAATTAATAGAAAAGACTCATATTTGGTATAGACAACTCAAAACACAAGACTACATTTGAAAACTTGCTTACATATCCTAAGGTGGGCCGCTTTGCTGCCAGAAAAGCAACGGACAGAGACGCTGCAAACCAAAGGAGCCATAAAGGCAGGGAACACAGCTGGGCATTTCCCATCGCCCTGAGTTTATGAATCACTACGTTGGTGGATCAGGCCCCCCTAGGGACATAAATGGCTGTTGACAGGGGGCCACCTGTCTGTGTAATAAGCTTAAGCACTTGAGAAACCTGTGATACAAGCACAGCAACAATTTAGGAACCTAATGAGTTCTGTAGTTGTCAAAGCAGAGGATTTCTCGGTCTCAGTTTTGACCATAAGCATCTCTAAGTTTTAGGTCCCAAGTTTGTCTTCTCTGAACTTGTGTAATTTATTTAAGCAAATAAGCTCAGAGAAAAAATACTTCTCTGAATAAGATGAGTGGTAATTGCTCTGAAGGTCTTCAGTTGTGCATTTGGACATGGATTGTCCCATACCTTCATTATTTGCTTCCAAGAGCAGTTTTTCATTTAAGTGAATTGAATGTGATATTTTATTTTGCTAGTCCAATGTAGTACGAGTGGATGTAAAGTTGCTATTGAAATCTGTGGAGCTGCTGAGTGTAACTTAGCAAAATGTTTCTAAAACATAAATTGATTACCTTCAGTCAACACATTGCACGGAAATTAATTGCAGCTTAGAAAGATAACTTTTAATTAAAGGGAGATAAGTAATTCATTTGCTTTGATTCTTAATCACTGCTGGGAAACACAAAGCTCAAAGAGGCAAATTTTTTTATGTTTAATGGAATTGGATGTTTGCTCTGTGTGACAAAGTTGTTATACTTTTGAAATTCAGTTATTTTTAGTAGGAAATATTAGTGGTGATCTTAACTCTGTCAAAAACCCCAAAGTATTTATGCTAACCCGTTCCTCTTAAATACCAAATATATGATACTGTATGTAATAGAGTATTGTTATTTAGATAGATACTGACTTGTGTCTCCTATATTTGCTCTCGGAAGGATCGTCCTGCTCTTGTCACTTAGTTCTCATGTCAGGTGTGTGTTAATCTGCCTTGCCAGCCTAGAAATTGCTGTATTACAATCAAGTTACACAATGACATAGTGCATTTTCAAATACTTCTGAAAAAAATCTTCTGACAAATTTCTGATTCTTGTGAACATTCATCCATGTAATCCTTAGTGATGCTCAGCAGCTTGGTGTTATAACGTTCTTCACCTTCACTGTAGTCTACTGTCATCTATTTTAACTAACTGGCTGAATAGAGGTTAAGTAAAATCTGAAAGAGTTTGACTAATACCGATCAGGCAAGCATCCAATCAGTTTTGTTCATTTAATGCGCTAGAAAACCGACAGTACCTTAATCATAACAAGGCATTTATGCATAATTATACTGAAGTACAAGTGTTTGTAATAAGAGATTCGTTTTTAGGTTTATTTTCATATTGGTATTGATGCTGTCTTTTATGATTTCTTCACGCTTTGCTTCCATGCGTTTAGATGGGTTGTATATGACACTGTACAAGACACAACATGCAATATTTAATATTTATTATTACAATCAGTTTATCAGAATTGCTGTTGAGTTTGGGGTAAATGTCGATCATCCTGAAACTTGTTTATCAGTATAAAGGCCGTAAAAATGATAAACTCTGAAGGATTTGCCACTCTGTAAGCAAATAAAAGAGGCCTCTTCAAATGCTTTACATATGGGCACTGGGCTTTACAGCAAGCAGGCTGTTCTGATGGCAGGTTTGTATGCTTCACAGAGAAAAGGGAACTGAATTCTGACTCAGTAAATATGGAATAATTATGCATACTTGTAATGGGAGATATATAAAGCTTTGTGAGCTAAGATTTTACAGGTGGAAGCTAGCGTGGCAGGTTGCATGGTGCTATAATGCATTTGTCGGTGTTTTTGGGATACATTTCAATTCTTTATTTCTCACTTCTTCAATTTGAAAACCTCTTATTTTCTTTTTATGAAGGTATGAAAGATGAATTTTTCCTTGAGATCTGGTTTCATTGGAAGATTTGCTTATGTGTGATGGTGTTTGAGAGATCCAACCAAGCTTAAAAGCAAGGCTTTCCTGATAGCTACGTTATTCTAATTCTCTGCTGTAAAAGCAGTTTACTTTCCATAAAGGTGTCATCAAATACAAAGAAATCTGACAGAACTGAATAAAAATGGAAGGGGAGGAGAACAAGGAACAAACCTCAGAACACCTCAGATAAATCAGTACTTCACCGAAGTCAGCAATAGCTTTATCATTCATCAACTGGGGATAGGATTTTAGTCTCTAGAATATACTAGTAAATTCAGAGGTTGTATTTGAAAGGAAAATGCATATAATTGCATACTGTCTCTCTGAGACAACTAATTGTGTATGAAAAAGATGTCTGCTCAGTATTTGTAATTCAAAAGAAACCAAAACTCCTTCTTGCTCCATTCCGTCTCACAGTTACGCTTACATCCAGAATAAACTTTTCTCTATGTAACTTTTGCAGCATATCCAAGTTTGATGAGCGATGTTGTTTTCTTTATGTCCATGACAACTCTGATGACTTTCAAATCTACTTTTCTACAGAAAACCAGTGTAGTAGGTGAGTTCAGTTTATGTGTGGGTATTGCATGCGAGATCTGTCCCAAATACAACTGGTTTAGTAAAGATTAAAAGCTGGCTGTTTTGGTTGAAAGATAAAGTATTTGTTCTCTTATTTTGTTCCTTTCTTTTTTCCTATTTTAAAGTTGGTTCTGATGCATTTACCTTACAAGTCGTTAGATCTGAAAAAGGGGCTCAGGTTAAAGTAGCTTATTCCAGCTTAAAACTATTGTCTTCTGTCTCTTGACTGTGGCATGTAAGGTACTGTATTGGTTTAGATTCCCTCATGTACCTTTTCTGTTGGATTTAGGTAAGAACAACTAGACATAATGCAAATTGTAGCTTATTTTATTTCACAGATATCTGTTATGGTTGGCATCATGTATTTGAATATTTACTGTAGATGAATATAGTGTCTCTAAACAGTAAGCATGCTAACAGAATTTCAGGCCCAAATCTGTATAGGCCAGATTCTTCTTAGGGCTAGTATTTGGCATATAAACCTTCCAATGTTAAAGTAGGATTAATTTGTTAATATACTTAACTATTTAGGGATGGACTGTATATTTATTTTTCTTGCAATACTTATTATGCATATGTTGCATATGCTTTTCAATGTGTATTTGATGTTCTTCCTTATATGGAACAGAATAAGCATGGAGGAGTGATAAAATGATAAATGATAAAAGAAACCTCTATCTAAACATGCTAGCCAGTGTGTTAGTTTGGAACCAAAGCCCGCTGTGCGAATAATCTGTTCAGTCTCTTCCTGAGAGGATATTTTTCTTTGATCCTGTGATATTTATTGTTTTTTAGATTCTGTGGGTTAGTTAAAGAAATTTTGTCCGATGCAGTTGGCAGTACTTTGGAACTAGAAGGAGAAATTGATGGTGACACATTGGAGGTATGTCCAGGATAAAAGATCTGAAAACTCCAAAACTTGTTGTATATTTTCCCTGCATTTTTCATATCAGTATCCTGGAAAGATAGGAAATAACATTTAAACTAAGCTGTATGTGAAATTTCAGCTCTTAGGAAACTTTTTGTATACCAGAATTGTTTTCATTTGAAAAAAAGATGTTTTTAATGAAGTGAGTCTGTTGCTACTGTGATGTAACCTGCATAAGTCTTAAAAAAGTGAATTACTGATCTTTTGTTTACATTGCAAACAATCTATAGATGAGGATCATCTAATGACAGCTGGCTCAGGTGTATGAAAAGACAAGATATGAAATAAATTCTAGGAAAAAGCCATTTAGGAGATGTGCTTCAATTTGTCTAGCCAGTCTCTGATATCACTCTTTCTCCAGATAAATTCATTTGACAGGCTTTTTCTGTCACAGGGATTTCCAGATATTTAGGATCAGATTAATCCCCTGTACTTTAGGCTGTTCACTGGAACACAGACCGTAGGAACCTAGTTGCTGTAGCTTTTCTTTATAATCAGTACAGAGATAGAAGAACCTGGAAAAGGTTATTCTGGCTTTATGGGCCCAGGCTAGGTGAGGTGAATGCATGTCTTTGTAAAACACTCTATTTTCCTCATGGCAGGTATCCAGATTTGTAGCACTGAGTGTTTTGGTTTGTTTGTAAGGCACTCTGTAAAGCCATCACAGAAAGTAGACTGCAATTTTTATTTGTGGTCAGGCAACTCAGTCAGTGCAGCTGTTGACTGTAAAACAACTTTTGTGGTTAGTTTGAGCTGTGTGTCTTTCTGACTGCGTCCTGTTCTAGCAGCTCTGTTACAGTTCAGAACAGCTCTTTGTGATAGCCTGTTGTAGTACTGGAGGCTTCAAAAAAGGATTAAGAATGTAGAAGACTCTACTGTACTGCTGTGTGCAGTTACATACAGTGGGGAAGAAGAGTTTTCACACTAAAGTTCGTGAATATTGACCACAGAATTCTCTCCTCGAGTGAAAAGACAAGACATGCACATCTGTTAAGCCAAGCTTAGTAAACACATGTACAGTTTCAGCCTTTATTATAGAATAAAACAGAATCAGGGATCTGCCTTGGCATAGACAGGGTGTTACCTATTGCTGCAGATTTAACCTTGCGTATTTATGACCTTAGCTAATAGCAGAAAGGCTCCAAACAGCACGATCTGTTCAACTAGGTAATTTTCTCTAAGAGGAAGTGAGCTCACCATAGCTTTGAGCCTATTAAAAAGTGAACTGGAAAAAGCACTGAAGAATGAAGAGCAGGAAACAATCCTGCATGGGTCAGTGAAGTATAGAGAAATGACTACAGGAGTTAATGCTGAATCTTTAAGTTATGTCATTCTACATATCTTGTAGTTTTCATGATTATTACCTTGTACTTAACTGCCTTAGGTCAGGAAATCAAGGTGCAGAAGGGGCAGTTAATTTGGTTAGTTTATAAATGAGCCAAGACATGCAATGTCTTTGGGCACCCTGAGATCTTACATTTAAAGAGAGGTGGACTTGACAACAACAAGAGAAAGTAGAAATTCTTACCATTAATAAAAGAGCTGTTTCTGTTTGGGGAAGGGGAAGATAACCTTGAGCATAGTTTTGGGGGGAGAAAGCCTGATTTTTTTGGATCTGACCGCACAACTGTTCTGTCAGGATTTCTGAGAGAACGCTGTCCCAAAGGACAGCGTCCTGTGTTCTGGATTGCAGTATTATTCAAAAGCAACTATAATGTTGATCTACAACTAAACCAGCATTTGGAATAGGAGTCGGTTTGGAATCTCAAGGTATTTGTATCTCGAAATTGATACTGAAAGTTCATACAGAAGGTCAACTTTGAACACTTCTTTGCTCCTACCTAATGGTTGCATTGCACATACTGTGTATCACATGTTCAGATTTTTGGCAACCAGTAGGAATTTATTCCATCTTTGTTTCTGGCTTTTGGAAGGAGAGGAGATAAATGTAAAATGGCATTAAGTGTAGACAGTCTATTAAACTGTTTACTAACTAGCACTGAAGTATAAATTTCAACAATTTTCATGTATCGTGGGACTGTGACTAGGGAACACAGGTTTCTCTACAGTGATTATAGAGTTGGCTTAGGACTTGGGAGCAAGCAGGGTTGCTGTCAATCTTAAATTCTGCAATGTGGCTGCTATCTTCTTTCTGCACAGTTTTATGTCATATGATAGCTGTGAAAGCTGGACACTCTACTACCGAAGAACTTGACAAGTTTTACATGTAGCATTTTGGGTCAGTTGTGCCTGTCATGTAACAAGATTATGTTATCAGCCATGAAATACTGAAACATGAAAAATGAAACTATATAGTTACCACTCACCAGAATATGTTGTTAGGATAAACAACAGACAGTTTTTTCTTTAGCACCCTTCATCTAGTGGTGTGAATCTTAGGGTCTTTTCTGAGGTGAAGAGAGAGGGAATTGCAGTGACACAAGGACATTACAGTACCAGAATCGCACTACCAGCTGGAGGAGATGTCAAGGAAGTAGATCTCAAGGTGACGTTCTATATGAGGTAGTCTTGCTGTATAAAGCAGAAAAAGATGGTTATTAACAATTGCCATAGGTATTGACATTTCTGTCAATGTTTTCTTTTTTGGTAGAGAATTCATATGAAGCCATAGAGGATAACCTGCAGTTTTCCCATATTGGGTGTCTTTTTTTGGACCTGGGAAGAGAAGAAAGGGGGGGGGGGTCTGTGTACCCCTGATCATCTCTGAGGCTATGAAACTGTCCAATTCGTGTCTTAAATCTTTGCAGAAGTGCTTTTACAATACCCTTTATCAGCTCCTCGATTTGGATTTGAATCAAGGGCACTCTGTCTAACCCAAATTCCATAAGAAACTTGGGTTTATTTGGTGTCTGAGTTCTGCTTTGAATCAACATTATTCATCGATGGACTTTTTCCCTGGCTGTTGTAGCAGGAATGCTCTGTGATGAGCTTACCATGTGGGACAAGACCATGAGATGGTGTAAACTGGTGTGGCTTTACAGAAGATGCTGAACCAGCAGTGACTTATTCAGCTGCAGATATGACTCATTTGCATGTTTCATCAGCAGTTAGTACAACCACTTCATATATTTAATTACCTTTCAGATAAGCATTTTTTTTCTTCTTGGAAAAGTTCCTAATGAGATAACGTCAGAAATGAATTTTGCTACTGCTAGGCTCAAAAGGAAGTATAGAATCTGAAAATAGCACCACCCATTGTAATGAGAATGTCAGTTTGTTTATTTATTAAGCTGTAGATTTAAAAATACTAGATTATATTCCATTTGTTTATATATTATGAAAGCTTTGTCAGAAATTGTCAGAGATGACATCTGAATGTCTTCTTTTGACAGTCCTGTTTCTCTGAATTTGTTTTAATGCTGTGATCCTTGTTTGGGCAGATGCATTTGGAAGTTGGTTAGGAAAGACTGTATTGTAAAGCAAATAGCATGGGAATTTTAGAAGTGATATAATGCACTAGGCTGCTGTATAACATACTAAGCACACTGTGGAGCTATTAAAGCTTTTTATAATCTCAAATGTGAGCACTAACAATTTATGTGCTACTTTGTTTATCTTTTCTACCTGCAGTATGAATATGATTATGATGAGAATGGTGACAGGGTAGTTCTAGGGAAAGGTACGTATGGAATAGTTTATGCTGGAAGAGACCTTAGCAATCAGGTCCGAATAGCTGTCAAAGAAATACCCGAGAGAGACAGCAGGTAAGATCTAGTTTACTGTTAAATTTACATTGCTAATGAAAATGCATTTTTTTGATGAAAACTTTGCTCTTCTTAAAAGGTATTTCTTTATGGCTGTTATTTAATACCCCAGTATACTAAAGATCAAGTGTTACCGCTGGTATTCAGCAGTACCTTTTTGAGAATAAGAACTTTGTTATTGCTTGAAAAAGAGTGTATGTTTGTGTATATAAAATGTATACAAATACAATTTTCCTAATGTTCTAGAATAAGAAATACTTTGTCTTCTAAGTTGCAGTTGTATCTTATTTGTACTTTCTGGGGGGGAGGGAGAGGAGCAGGAGAGAAAACGTTTCCAAGGCAAAGGCAGTGTTGTATAATGATGCAGAAAGATTTATGTATAAATACTTTCTCTGAAGGCATGTTTATCCTTGTGGGTTCCTCTCAGCTCTGCCTCTGTACCTTTTCTGAGTAGGCAGCTAGTCACGCTGCGTTGTGAAGGTCATGGACAAAGTATTTCCTGTGAATTGGAGCAAAATCCCCCAAATCCATTCTGTTTGTAAACTAGCATTTAAGTCTCGTCTAGGACCTTTTCCTGCATTGTGAGCTACTCTTTTTTCTTTTCTTTTTTTTTTTTTTAAAGATATTCTCAACCTCTTCATGAAGAGATAGCACTGCATAAATATTTAAAGCATCGGAACATTGTCCAGTATCTTGGATCTGTTTCAGAAGATGGCTACATTAAGATTTTTATGGAGCAGGTGCCAGGAGGTTTGTATCATTCTGAACTTTAGTCTCTCAAAGAAATCAAAAGCAGTTTGGCCCCCAAACTTGGAGAAAGCCAAGAGATGTGCACTAAATGTGTTTGTGTACTGTATCCGGCTTTTCTGTTGGAAAGTTAACTACAAGTGGCATTCTCCACATGTAAAAAACAAGTTTGAAATACGCAGTTCCCACGACCCTGTACTTGTAATAATTACTAGTGTGGAGAAAAGTAATTGAAAGGAAACTGTTAGAAGTTTTGATGTCAAATACTCATGTGTTTAGAAAATAGCGGAGTTCAAGCTGTGTGGTCCCTTTAGCCTGAGCAGCCAGATGATAATTGGAGCTGTTAGGGTAAGCTTCTGTTGAGAGGTAAAACTGATGGTAAAGCTCATTATGACTTTATTCTTACAAAGGTGACACATGCACTGCTGTTTCCTAGCCAAATGAGAGAGAAATGGGAGGTGCTTCCATTGCTCAAAATTTCCAGTTTTTGCTGCTCGAGCCTTCCCTATGTTTTAAGATGTGAAGTCTTTCTATTTCCTCTCTAGGCTGTACTCTACCTCCCTTTTGCTATTTGCTGTTCGTTGTCAAGTATATGTCAGCGTAAGTGTTAAATCCTTATAAGAATGTAATTTACAAAACTAAAAAGTCAGATAAAACAAAGTTCAGGTTTCTATCAGAGATCCAGACACAAACGTTCAAAGTGTAATTAAATGCATCTGGGTCATTCAAGATGGGAAATTTATTTCTTTTTTGTGCTTCCATGACCTCCTCACCTTGTCTTTTTAGTGTGGACACTCCAACATGGATGATGCATGCTGATGTAAAGAATTTATCCCAACGCTTATTTTCCTGCTGTTAAGAGGATCAGCTGCTGTTGTTTACCTACTGGGTTTTTCTTCTGTTCATGCATGCATACTAGTGTGTGCTGTAATTAGTGGTTAAGAACAGGATATTATTGAACCAGTTCCGGTATTTTTAATTCCACAGCTAGTCTGGAAAAGGAACCAGCTGTTTAGATTATGCAAGATTCTTTGAGGAAACTTCAGTTTAGAAAGAGCATAGTGTCGGTTGAAAATCCCTTCAAATGAATTTGTCTGGCGTTGAGTGTACTCATTGCACTTAGTTTCGTACGAGCAGAAAATGCTATGCTGTATTTATTTTGCCTCATGATTAAAATATTCATGTTGTTAAAAACTGATTAGATTTGCTACAAGTAGGGGAAGTGTGGATGACCTGTCTCCCAATCTAAGCATCTATAAATTGGTTTCTTTCAGGAATGTGCTTTCCTCTATCACTAGATGTTTCCAAAGGTTAATTCCACGTTTCCAAGTCAGAGGAAAAGACTGTTTTGGTTTGTTGTCAGAGTAAATCAGCTTCTCTTCACCGATGCACATAGTTCACAGAGTATAATATATAACATAATACAGTGTTACCTACCATGGCCTTTATTTCATTAAGGGCCAAACAGTAGCTAGTTCCAGTGTCAGCAGTCATTAGACTGAAGTGAGGGAAATGTGTCCAGCCCTCTCATAACCCTTCTTCACGTCCCGGAGGTGAAAGCTGAGCTGGCAAGAAAGAAAGAACCAGTCAAGAGCAGAAATAAATTGACTTGCTCTAAGAGAACTAGAAAGAATTTTGCTTAATTATAGGTACTGCATTTCTCTTGCGTGCTAGGATATTGAGCAAAACTTTAAATACAGCCTTACATGTTTCATGTTAATCTTGGGATTATGCTATCTTGACACACTTTTTTCTTAACTGATTCAGGCAGCCTCTCGGCTCTCCTAAGATCTAAGTGGGGCCCAATGAAAGAACCCACTATAAAATTTTACACCAAGCAGATTCTCGAAGGGCTTAAGTATCTCCATGAGAACCAGATTGTACACAGAGATATAAAGGTAAATTTTCCTCCACTATGTCTTGTATGGTTTTTGATTGTGTTTATTTCACTTAGTTTTGTTCTAGCCTCAAATAGAACTTTCAGTAGGATTTCATGGAAGGTTAAAATAAAAGTAAGACAAGAATAAAACAATTCCTTCCCCTGCTGCTCCTGGAAAACTCCTTTGTAGAAAGGTAAATTATAAAGATAACTTGAAGGTGTATTGAGATGGGGATTTGGAATCTATTTGTATTCATCTGCTTTTTTTTTTTTTTTTCTTCTTCTTCCCTCTCTCTTACATCCAACCTACAGGGGGATAATGTTTTGGTGAACACCTATAGCGGAGTGGTAAAGATATCTGATTTTGGTACGTCCAAACGGCTGGCAGGAATTAATCCATGCACTGAAACATTTACAGGTAAGAGTAATGGAGCAGAGTGTGTGAGGGTATGTTCTTAATGTAGATTCTTCCTTAGCATCCAGAACTGGATTGATGACAGATTCAGAATTAGAGCCAAGAAGCACATGGGGTTCGTGAGAGAAATGGGATTAGGTGTTCTTGTTTTCAGAGAAAAGTGAACAGGAGCGTGGTCACTGTAAACACAGACTTGCTATTTATTTTATTTTATTATTTTTACTTCTTTAATGGGATAATAGTTTTAAAAATGAAGATGGAAAATGAAGGAATACTCACATAATTACTCAATTCTTTGATCAGTGGAAAAAAATAGATAACATCATGTTTTCACATGCTATATAGACATAACCATAGGGTGAAGTACCAAATCACAAGTCTCACATTGACGTGTATTTTAAGTATGGAAAATAGTTTATGGATGAAGTCATTGGATGTGTGTGTGGAAGACAGAAGATGATGACTTTAATTTAGCCATTACCTCTGTCTGGCAGTGATTCTGCAGTACTTCCAGCTTTCTTACAAAGGAAGCCAGGTAAACAGAACTATGAAGGCTCTGAAGTAACTAACACTTCTAAGTGTTTTTTTGTAGTTATTATTAGGAAAGTTTGTGAACTGGAAATTGGCCTAACACTACATCATGATCTGAACAAACCATGCAACATCTACATGCAACGGTAACATCTCATCAGGTGCAGGCATTTGAAACTTTTTAATTAGAATCAAATTAAGTTAAATTAGGAGTCTTTAAAAGAAGACAAAAACACTGTGTTCCTTGTTAGAACCTTCCAGTTTGGATGCATTGATGCAGCGTTTGAATGTTCTGTTTAAAATGAAGGACTACGCCACTCAATCTCTTCAGCTTGCAGACATTACAACAGATAGATACCTAATAGGTTTGAATAGAGCTGATTAAATGCTGGATTCTGAAGCATTCCTTTAATGGGCTTCACCATATTTTCCAGACAAATTATTCAATAAACACCTTTTTAATCCAACACTGTGGCAATACAACTAAATGAATAATTCTCAAATGCACACAGGTCTCTTGCAGTATCTGAAAAAGGATACTTGCAGTTTTTGCCTGCAATATTTGGCTTTGTCAGTATTGTTAGACTAGCTCTGTGCAGTTCTGTTCTGTGGGAAAGAGGTGCGCTACCAAGTGATGGGGTGAATAGCTTCTCACTTCCCTAGAATACTTTGGAAACTGAAAGCTTATGAAGGGGCTCAAGATGCAGTCATGGAGGAAGACCCATTTGTGGCTATTAAGGCCAAATTTTAATTTTGGCCCAAGAAGTCCCTCTTACGGCTGGTTGCTGGAGCAGATATCAGGGGAAAGCCGTTCTGTGCTTGCTTGTATTTTTAGCAACCGATTGTTATTAGGCATGATGTTATGGACTGCTCGTGAAGAAAAGTCACCATGCTGTAACAAAAGGGGGTAGATCATTTCTTGTGCTTTTCTGATACGTTCTCTTGTATGTTTGCTGTCCTATTTGTGCTTTAGAGGTATATGAGAATAAATGTTTGAGATGAGCTAAGCTTTTGCAGTAGGTAGGTCTGCTAGGTAATCTATTGTTTAGAGGGTCTCAAAACTCTCTTGCAGTTTGTTTTGCTTCTTAACTTGGTACATAAACTCTGCAGACTGTAGGCATCACGTAATACAAAACAGATAATTGAAGGATCGGACCTCTAATGGGTTAAACTTTATATCACTCCACTCAAGAACAGCCTGAGGACAAAGCTGTGGCTTGGAGCTTTTGTTCTACAGCAGTTATATTTAATGAGCATAGTAGTATCCAATCCCCTTTATCTTCACTAGATGTCCTTTCCCTGATTGTTCACAAGTTTATCACACTGTAGTTCTGTTGTGTTCCTACAAAGAAAAATAATTTATTTCTAAGTTGTAATAAGAGAGCAGGAGGAATTCACATGGAAGAAATAAATATTGTAGTTCTTGAAACATTAAGAATGTCCATAGGTTTCCTCTGTTAGGGTGGATTGTTAACTGTTTCAGTGTATGAATGAATATGAGTGATTCCAGATTGACCAGCTTTTGTTTTGTTTTTTACTTTCTTTTTGTTTATGAATTTTATAATAAATGTTGCAGTCAGATTGTCACAGGCAAACTGACTACTCTAGGACTCTTTAGAGGCATTCTGAGTCACCTACTGACAGTCAACTGTAACTCTTAGGCAGGGTCTTACTTTGTCAACGTGTATAACTTCAAAAGTTTCAATAGATTTATTTCTTTAAGTTTGTTTTTGCCAACCTTGGATGTTAAAAATCACAAGCACAACAATAATACTTCCAGGAATTGCAATTTGACAGGTTTCCGTGTTTTTGCAGTCATCTTATAATTGACTTATCTTTGCTACAACCTTGAACGCTTTTGTGTAAACTTAAGATTTTATTTAAAACGTTTTGATCTCTTGTCATCTGAGATTTACAAAAATAGCTTTTCAGTCTCTCTTTCTCCCCCACCCGCCCGCCCGCCAACCTCTGTAACTTTTTGAAACACCCCATCCCTAGTGTTTTTGGGGAGGCTATTCTTAGTGGTGCTGTCACAGCTCCATTATTTCTATAACATGGCTTTTTCCTTTGTAAAAATATATTGATCATCCTGTTAGGATATTATATGTTTCAAAAAAGACTCTAAGGTGAGTAGCTACTTGGACATGTGGCACATAGATTCTGTGTTGGGATTTTTACCTTATTTGCCTCATGTGGCTTTGTAAGTATGCTTTGTAATGAATTCATCTAGAATTATTTACAGTCACAGTCATTACAGATATCTCTTGCGGATGGAAAGAAATTGCATGTGTGTTCCTGTCTCATTCAAAGCCCATGCATTTTTTCATTGTGTTTTTGTTTGTTTGTTTTGCTACTATTAACTCCATGTAAAGACTAAATCATGGTAATTTAATTGTGAGCCCTCAACAGGCTCTGCTTCCCAAGTTTATTTCACTGTGAGCAGTCAGCTTTATCTCTGATGTTAAGGAAAAGTGTTCCTGAGGAACAAGCTATCTGAAAAAAAATCAAATGTGCCTACACTGAAATAGAGCCCTATAAACTGCCACTACAAAAAGAAAGTGATTATCAGAGGATATATGTGATACAATTATCACGCTAAAAATGTCTGTCCTAGAGTTTGTATCTCACAATGAATGAAATTACACCTTGGTTTACTATTGATGAAAGACTGACAAAGATGTGTTGTAAAAACCAAGCATACTTGCCCCTTCTGCTTGTCCTGTTCTTCCAGGCCTGTCACGAGCCTTGCAGTTGTTTTGCCAGTGGCATTTCACAGTGTTTAGAACCTTTTATTTAGGTCCCCAAATCGAGTCTTCTAATGCTTACGTAGGCATATTTCCGCAGGGCCCGCTTGACTGCGGGAGAGCTGTGTTTTCATTTAATCTCTCAGTGATACTGTGATACTATGGTATGATACGATGTGATGACAGTGATCAAGAATTTGGGAGAAGTTTTCTTCTGAGCATGTTTGCATCTGCTGTTAAGAGAGCACCACAACATGACATTCTGAGAACAAAACAATGTTTACAAAACAGCAATAATTTGGCCTGTGCGTATCCCTACTTTAACAGAAAAATAAAGCTTTTCCTACTTCCAGCACTTCTTCCCCAAGACCATTTGGTTTTGCATTCTTTCTACTCTGTTTCTATTATCTCTTTGTAGTCTAGAAACATTTTTTTCTTTCCATAAGCTTTCCTTTTTTTTTCTCCCTAGACTTCTACTCTCTGGCACTGCCTGTCATATTCATCGAGATCCCTTCTTCAGCCCTTCCATCCTTATAACTAGGCTTTTTCCTCTCTGCGTGAACTGTTCCCTGTATTGTTGTTGATGCTGTCCTCCATCCATGTTCTCATTATAGCAGTAAACACATGAAAAATTATTCTTGTGAAGAGAATCTGTCATTTTGCTGTTTTTTATCATCTCTTAACATGCATAATCGTTACAACTAATTGTCTGCAAAAATTGTTTGGCATAATTATGTTCTGGGGAAGCTTTTTGGATTATATGGTAAATATATTTTTTGCAGTTTAAAGCCTCTTATTAGAGAGAAAAAATATTTATAGATTTATAGGTTTATAGAAAAGATGTCAAAACGTAACTTTATGTCGAGTTTTCAGTGCTGATATTGGAAATCAAATCTATTGTTTATACAGGTTGTATCTGAAAATTTGACTTGCTTAGTGATGTGTTAGTTCTCTCTAGTAACAATGAAAAATGTAAAATTTGGCTGTTATTTTTGTCCCGACTAGGAACCTTGCAGTACATGGCTCCTGAAATTATTGATAAAGGACCGCGTGGATATGGTGCACCAGCTGACATCTGGTCACTAGGTTGTACCATCATTGAAATGGCCACAGGCAAACCTCCGTTTCATGAACTAGGAGAGCCTCAAGCAGCAATGTTTAAAGTAAGCATAACTGATTTGCAGCAGAACTTATGAATGTTGAAATACTAACTTATTTTTTAATATTAATTGGTGATTACTTTGGGTAATAGGTTGTTCTGCACAGACAGTCTGACCTGTGTTCTTGATGCTGACTGAATGATCCTTCTCTGCTCTAAGTTATATTACTCTAAGGTAGTAATAATTCATTTTTCTGTTGGAAATAGATCATGACTCAGCATAGCAACCTGAAAAACTAGTGAGGATTTATGAAAACTAGTGTTCTCTGCCTTCTTACTTCTTTCATCTTCTGTTCTTGGTTTATGATTTTCTTCTTGGCAACCAGAGTGTCCAGTAGTATTGCAACGCTGGACTTCAGGAGAGCTAACTTTGGCCTCTTCAGGGACCTACTTAGGGGAATCTCATGGGGTAGGGCCCTGGGGGGAAGAGGGGGCCAAGAGAGCTGGTTAATATTCAAGCATCACTTCCTCCAGGGTCAAGATCAGTGCATCCCTCTGAGGAAGAAGTCGAGCAAAGCGGGCAGGAGACCTGCATGGAGGAGCAAGGAACTCCTGGCAAAACTCCAACAGAAGAAGGAAGTCTACAGAATGTGGGAAAGGGGACAGGCCACTGGGGAGGAATATAGGGATATTGTCAGAGTGTGCAGGGATGCGACCAGGAAGGCTAAGGCCCACTTGGAATTAAATCTGGCAAGGGA